ATATATATGCATAACCCATGGACACAGACAATAGGGTGGTAAAGGCCTGGGGTGGGGGGTGTGGTTGGCCTAGAAGGGGTCAATGGGGGGAAAGGGGGACATCTGTAATACTTTCAACAATAAAGATAAATTTTAAAAATATAAAAACTGCATTTTCTTGTGAATTTGTAGGGTTTTCTAATATATTTTATTTAGTAATCTTTTTATTTTTTAATATAGTAATCTTATGTCAGAATAAATATTGCAAATGCCTTCTTCCATTTGGAGCTCATCAGTTAACACAGATTCCTCCCTGAATAGATTTAATTTTGGCCTTTAAAACCCTATGGTTTGAGCTTTTATGATCTTAAGAAATCCTTTCTGCCGAAACCGGTTTGGCTCAGTGGATAGAGCGTCGGCCTGCGGACTGAAGGGTCCCAGGTTCGATTCCGGTCAAGGGCATGTACCTGGGTTGCAGGCACGTCCCCAGTAGGAGATGTGCAGGAGGCAGCTGATCGATGTTTCTCTCTCATCGATGTTTCTAGCTCTCTATCTCTCTCCCTTCCTCTCTGTAAAAAATCAATAAAATATATTAAAAAAAAAAAAAGAAAAAAAAAAGAAATCCTTTCTAACCACAGGCAGTTTCAATTTTTGCTGGAACATAAAGTGTTAAAGTTTCTCAATGGGAAACTTTTCTACATGCCAAACACTGTTCTAAGCATCTGACAGATAGTAACTTAATTAAGCTTCACATCAATCCCATCAATCCTACTGTTATCATCATTTCTAATGAAAGCAAGAGGCAAAGCATATGCAAAGTAGTTTAGCCCCAGGAGTCATGTGCCCGGCCCTAGGGCCCCACTATGGGCCCAGGCGACACTTTCGGTTCTATCTGGACCAGCTGCTGGGAGAACAGACCTTTTGGAAGGACAAGTGAATTCCGGGCCCTTCCAGGCTGCTCAGATATCACTTCAGGCGTGTACAGAACTGACATGACAGAGTCAGAACAGCGTCTGGCCTGGCCGGAGTGGCGCAGTTGGGGAGGAGGGGGTTCCCCTTGACCCCCATCCCTGTGTGTAACCGGGACCCCATGCACCAGGATGTCTGATTTCCAGTCAGGGCACATGCCCAGGTTGTGGGTTGATCCCCAGTAGTGGGCGTGCAGGAGGCCTCATCAATTCTCATTACTGATGTTTCTATCTCTCTCTCCCTCCCCTTCCTCTCTCTAAAAAATATCAAAAAAATATCACCATCGCCAGTTTGGCTCAGTGGATAGAGCATCGGCCTGTGGACCAAAGGGTCCCGGGTTCGATTCTGGTCAAGGGCACGTGCCTCGGTTGCAGGCTCCTCTCTGACCTGGGCCCTGGTCAGGGCGCATGCCTGAGGCAACCAATCGATGTATTTCTTTCACATCGATGTTTCTCTTTGTCTTTCCCTCTCTCTTCCACTCTTTCTAAAAATCAATGGAAAAATATCTTCAGGTGAGGATTTTAAAAAATCAATAAAAACAAGAGTAACATCTGAGGCTTACTTTGCCACTCCTGCACCCGTTTCCGGGCGATGGCGAAGGTGGAAGGGAGTGTACACTTCTCAAGGCAGTGAAGTGCAAAATGCCCACAGCAAAAACCCCAGCACTGTGTGCGCCCGGGACCGGGAAGCAGCTCTGCATTCACTCCTCACAGTCGCAGGCGCTGGCGGGGGTGAAAGCATCGCGTGGTGCTGGGACCGGGGACGGAGGCAGCTAGGAGCCAGGGGGTTCCCATTCCCCCACCACCACCACCAAGGTTCAGGTTAAGGCATGTTGAATTTTACATGACAACTCACTCAAGTTAAGATACCAGAAACAAACACCATGAGTTAAAAAAGGAGCCACACCAACAAAAAGTAATGAGATTTATTGCCTTGAAGTGGGAAGGATTGTGGTCACGATAGAAAGGCCACTGGGTTCCCTGGGATGGAGGCCGGGGCAGCACAGCCCCAGCTGAGAAACCTGCACACACATGAACACACATGCACACGCACGTGCACAGATACACGAACACACATGTGCATAGAAGGCCGAGGGGAGGCCCAGGGCCTTCTGCTCTGAGGAGGAGCGATGCTGGGCAGGCTGTGAGGAACGGGAGCAGCCCCTGCTGGGATGGCCCGGGTGCTGGCATCAGACTCGGATCAGGAAGTCAGTCTGAGGAGAGAAGGACGGGGAAAGCCATCAGGGGGACCCCCTCCTCCCCAAACAGTTGATCTCTCCTTGCCCCTCATCTCCGCACTCTTCCTGCAGCTCCCATCATTCCTCAGCCACTGAAAGCCATCCCTGCGACCCCCAACCCTGTGTGTAACCGGGACCCCAAGCAGGCGATGCCCATGGAGCTGATACAGCCCCGCCACCCAAGGGCCCGAGGGCCACTCTCAGTCCTCCCCGGGCCCAGGAGAATCCGGGCAGGGCCCCCGACGTACCGCCTGAGCAAGGCTTCCGGAAGTGGATGATGAGGACCAAGCCAACAAGGATGCCCAGCACACCCAGGCCGAAGGCCACGCCGCACAGCACATTCTCCAGCAGATCCGAGGGCAGCGGGTTGTGGGGCACTGGAGACAAAGGGGAGCAGGCGGGCCCTGAGACCTGGTTAGGGAGCCCCCACCCTGGGAATGATGTGGGTGTCGGGGCTGACAAGGGAGAAACTGAGGCGTGAAAGAGTGAGACTGGACTAAACAAGGACTAGGTGGAGAAGGAGGCTCCCGTGGGCCTGTCCCCTTCGGCCCCCAGGGAGCCCGGCTCCAGGGAGGAGGGTCTCACCCCAGTAGGCAATCGCTGTGTAGCCGTCAATCTCATGAGTGACAATGCAGGAGAAAAGGTCCGAGGGTGCCGGGGTGAAGTTTAAGTAAGAAAAGGCCTGGAAGCTGAGTCCATCGAGGGCAGAGACGAAAGTGGGCCCGGCGCCCTCCACGGGGGCCAGGTGATGCTGCCAGGCCACCGTCAGCGTGGGCGGGAAGAGGTTGCTGACAAAGCAGACCAGCGTGTTGGGCTTGCCGAACTCCAGGGGCTTCAGCGTGAACACCTCGACCACGGGAAACCCTGGAGGGACAGGTGGAGGGACAGAAGGGACTCTTTAGGGAGCCAGTGCTTAGGGGGGGGGGGTGGCATACAGAGGGGAGGGCAGAGACCGTCATGGGGCGGGCTTTGGGGGGAGGTAGGGGGCGCTGGGCTCTGAGGTCTTCTAGGCAAGAAGCAGAGCTGGACCTAGAGGCAGAGCCAGGCCCGGGCCACTGCAGCCGCCCCCCGGCTTCCTGCAGCTCTTCCTGTCCAGGCCCCTCCGTGCCCTCTGATCTCCAGCTGCTTCTCACGGGAACAGCGGCAGGTCCCCGTCTATCCTGCTGGGCACATGCCCAGCGCACACATCCCCAGTGGTCGGCAAACTCATTAGTCAACAGAGCCAAATATCAACAGTACAACGATTGAAATTTCTTTTGAGAGCCAAATTTTTTAAACTTAAACTATATAGATAGGTACATTGTCATTAACTTAATTAGGGTACTCCCAAGGCTTAGGAAGAGCCACACTCAAGGGGCCAAAGAGCCGCATGTGGCCCGTGAGCCGTAGTTTGCCGACCACGTCCAGGGCCTGCTCCCGCTGACTTCAAGTCTAACTCACCCTGGGGACGCGCCAATCTAGGCCCCTGTCTGCTAACCCCCACAGAGACAGGCGCCGGTGGCTGGGAGAAAACCCAAGAACCGGGGGAGAACCGGAGCCCCAGAGGTGGGGGGCTGGTGTGTAGATTAATGAGGTTCCGAAGGCAGCTCCCACCACACCCCCCAAAACCCTGACCTCTAGACACCGGGATTTTCCCTTCCAGCTGCGGGCCTACTTCCTGGACCATGGCTTGGCAGAATGCTTTGTCAAAGAAAATGGTGGAGGCATCTCCAGACTTCTGTGCCCAGTCAGCAAACTCGGGCAGGCGAGGCACTCGGGTGTTCTGGGAAAAGTCGAAGGAGAAGAGCTGGTCCTCGTCGTAGACCTCGGAGAGCCCTACGTCCGGGCTCCAGTCCTGACAGTACACCGTGTGCTGGAACGTGTGGTTCTGCAGGCCGGCCCGCCACCCTGCGGCTGCTGCGGAGGAGACAGGGCGGGTCAGGCCTGCAGCACTGGAGGGGGAAACCCCTCTAGCGTCTGTTATCTGGGCTCTCCCACCCTGTGGGGCGAAAAGAAATCACTAGGATCTCTCCAAACTACCTCTGCCATAAAAAGGCCCACCGTCTGAAGTCTGCAGGCTAAAGTGTCGCTGCTGGTGGCTGAAACCCGGCACACGCCCTGGGAGACCTTTGTCTAATTCCTGGGCCACCCTAGTGAATGTGGGGGGCGGGGCGGGCTTGGAAGGGAGGTGAAGGAACGGCCACGCCCTCCCCAGGCTGTAGGTGACACTGCTCCCTCCTCCCCCCACACGTGCTGAACTGAAAAACAGTCTCCAGGCTTCTTTGCAGCCACCTCACTGGCCCCCGAAAACGGCTTCCCCTCGCTCCACAGTCCAGCCCTGGCAACGACAGGATTGGGGAAGTGACCCCGGAGCTGCAAGAAATAAGCCCTCGTTTTTGAAACTTCTGGCAGAAATCCCGCCAGCAAGCAGGAAACCTACCCAATACCCAATCCCGAGAATAATAGGCATTTCGAGTAAGAGGGAGCTTCCAGATTATTCTTCCACCCTGCCCCATCCTTCTCAGGGAGGGAAATCAAGGAAGACTTTTCAAGAATTGCAAGGTTGCCGAAACTGGTTTGGCTCAGTGTCAGCCTGCGGACTGAAGGGTCCCAGGTTCGATTCCGGTCAAGGGCATGTACCTGGGTTGCGGGCACATCCCCAGTAGGAGATGTGCAGGAGGCAGCTGATCGATGTTTCTAACTCTCTATCCCTCTCCCTTCCTCTCTGTAAAAAATCAATAAAATATATTTTTTAAAAAAAGAATTGCAAGGTGAGTTGATGCCCGAGTCAGTGGCTCCTGCGTGGAGCCGTGGAAATAACATTTGCTTTGCTCGAATCCCAGCGCTACCCCCTCCCAGTGTATGAACTTACAGGAGTTACTCAAACTCTGAGTCTCACTTTCTTCATCTGGAAAATGGATATAATCATCTCTGCTTCAAGAAGCTCTTACATGAAATGTATAAGGTACCCCTGACAGTTTGCCATCCATCCATAGCAGCTCTGTCCCGATTCTGCTAGTCTCCACTACCCGGCAGCACTTCCCACCATTTACAAAGCGCGGGCTCTCCTCCAGGGCTCTG